AAATAGGTGCTGATATCTCAGTCAATCTTCCTTATTTTTCTCCTCCGTCTTTTCCTCCTTTTGCATCATAAGTTTATGGGTATTATAAGTATCTCCATTCAGAGACCACACATTCCACTAACTTTCCTTTTCACAAGAGCTAATAAATGTACAAAAGAGAATTGAAAAGATATGTTTGTATGAATTGTTTGTATGCTGAAATAATGATTAGTCACTTTTTTGCACATTTTACAAGTTTCAGTTGGTCACTTTCACTAAGGGCCCATATTCTTTTATTCTCTTTTCTAAAAAGATCTGCAAAGTTTCCTTACTTTTAAGTAATATTTTAAGTTTAGAAATTCATGTATCTAGAGTTGGCCTCAGTAGTTTCACACAGACATGTTTATGATTGTATGATAAGATTCTAATGAAAACAAAAGCTGAATAGTCTTTATTGCTTGGAAGAAGCAATAAAGTAAGAGCAGTTATTCAGAAAGTCTGTGTGTACATGTGTATCTATTTGTCTAGATATCTTACAATATATTATTAGTTTATGAGCTCATTCTAGTATTAGTTATTGCAGAGCCTTTTATCTCATTTTTTCTTTCTTTTTCAGTACGTTCTTAGTTTTATTCTATACCAATTTTTTTGATGGGCATGAATAAATGTAAACAAGTAAGAAGAGACTATGAAAATATGTTTTGGTATCCCGTGCAGTAAATATTTGAAATTGTACTATTTAAGTTACATTGAATTGTAACTTGAACTTACAACTTACTCTGTAAAGTAGAATAATTCAGAGAACTCTTGATGTGATTGTGTTATAAAGGATAGGCATTGATATTATAGTTTTTTTTTTCATTCTTTCTTTCTTTTTTTCTTTTTTTTCTTACACCAAGTGTATTTAGGCATTAAGGTAAATTTTGTTCTTGGCATGAAATATTTAATTTTGATTTTGAAAGTTTAGAAATTATAGTTATCATTATGTTGGGACTTCTAGTAGCCTAGAATGATTCTGATACTAGAAAGATATATCGGTTTGCATGCTTGCTTGATGTATAGAGTAAGTTCAGTTTATTCGGTATATGTTATGTCATGCTTGCAGATGGATAAAAACAATTATAGCACTACAACATTACCTAACTCCTTCATTATACATCATAACTTTGAAAATTACTAGCACTGCACATAATAAATCTATTTCTTTGATACAAAAGAAATTAAAAACCTGTAGAATAAAATTTAGACAGATAATGTATTAAACTATCAGGGATACTTTAATGAGACATTATTTCATAGAAATAGAAACAACAAATTGTAAACTTCCTTATATGAATAGTATGTTTGTTTGTTTTTTGCCAGAAGATAGGTGCATATTAAGTGTTTGCTTGATTTTTTTTATCTTCTTGTTCTTTTTTTCTTTCCTTTTTCTTAGATGAGCTAGATTGATCAAGTAATTGTTCTTGAATATAGTTCATGCAGAGAGTGACCTTTTGACATTTGTTAATGGAAATCACTTATGTTTGCAATAGATGTGTTGGCAGAAATATATTTCTAGTAAAGATTATGATCTGTAAAACATAGTACCATATGTTGAACTTTTGTTTTCCATCTAGTTAATTATAAAGCTGTAGCATTCTTTTGAAGATACTGAGTGATTTTATATTTTTCTTTCTTTTGAGTTTAGCATTTCCTCTCTCTTTTTAAAGCCAAAGAATTAAAAGCATTTCAGTGTTCTTTTGTAGCAATTAAAAAAAAAAAAAAAAAAAAATCATATCAGTAGGTAATGCTTGTCATTACTTGTTAGTAATGTGCATGTATAAATTTGTAGGAAAGCGTATGTTTTAGTAAATTTGTGTAGGAAAGTTTCCTTCTTGAATGTATTATGGGCAATTAGGAAATCTTTAGTTTTATATTAAGTAGTGTCAGAGTAGAAGTGTCTTTTGTATATGACCATCATAAAGTTCTTAATAACTTTGTAAACATAAGATGTTGCACAATAGTAGAAACGTTTACACTGAAGGATGTTCAATATGTAGGTGTGCCTCTTAGTGTAATTTAGAAAAATGATTTGAAGAAGTTGTGCAATATATTCATTTGCTATTATTATTATTATTATTATTATTAGGAAAACTATTAGCATTACTTATTTAGATACTATTATTTTTATCATTTTTATTGAGGTTATGATTATCATCATATTTTTCATTATTGTTATTATTATTAAAGCTTCATTGTGTTGAAGGAAATTTTGGTCTTCTTTTTTACAATCTAGTTTGATGTTAATTAAATGAGATAAGGTTACAGAAATTATCATTTTTTTAATGTTTTGGAAGTATTCAGTTATCAAAGTTCAATTCTAATAACCATAGGTCACACTGTATTCTTGTGACAGTAGAATTAAACTGTAAATAGGAGATAATTGTAATTGTGCCCATTATGACACGTCTGAGGTTTTTGCTTTTGTTTCATTCCTATTGACTAAATAGTGTGGCAACAAAAATTGCCGTGGTCATATCTC